ATCCCAGGGAGACAGACTGACACCACGCGTGCCTGTGTCTCCCTGCCGCCTGTGTGGCATCCTCACACCCAGAAGACAAGCGTGCGTCCCTCCCCCACAGGCATGGGCTCTCAGAGGCAGAGCTGAAGGACGTCTTGTCCCTGGATGACGAGGTCCTGCAGGCTGTGTACCGGGTCTGGGCCCCTCCCAGCAGGGAGCTGCTGCGTTTCCCCCCCTTGCTGTGGGTGCGATTACGGCGGGACCTGGGCTGCTGTCTGGCCCGGCGGCCCACAGACAGCGCCACGCTGCTGGTGGTTGCCCACAGGTAGGTCCAGGTGGGACCCCCAGGATGGAGACGTGCCGACTGGGCTCCCCCAGGCCAGATCCTTCCTCATGCTGCATTCCCAGGAACGCCTCCTCCCAAGCCCAGTTAGGCTGGAATACCAGGGACTGACACAGCTAATGCTTTCAATTGCGATGAAATTCACATAACACACAATTTATCATTTTATTTTTATTTTTTTGAGTCAAAGTCTCACTCTGTTGCCCAGGCTGGAGTGCAGTGGCACACTCACAGCCACCACAGCCTCAACCTGCTGGACTCAGGCAATCCTCCTGCTTCAGCCTTCCAAGTAGCTGGAACTACAGGTGTGTGCCACCATGCCTACAATAAAAATGAAAAAATTAGCCAGGCATGGTAGCACGCGCCTGTAGTTCCAGCTACTTGGAAGGCTGAGGTGGGAGGATCGCCTGAGCCCAGCAGGTCGATGCTGGGGTGGCTGTGAGCGTGCCACTGCAGTCCAGCCTGGGTGATGGAGTGAGACTCCAACTCAAAAAGTAAATTAAAAATGAAGCAAATTTATGTAAGGAAAAAGATGGGCCACCTTAGAGACCAATATTGGGTAAAAAATAGTGCAGGTGATTGGCAGACACGGCAAGCTTCCCAAAGGGGGTTAGGACTGATTGGCCTTTGGAAGTTGATTCTGGGGCGACCAGTGACCACCCTGAGCTCCGCGAGCCCCCAGATCCACCAACCTGTGTCCGCCCTCCACAGGCAGCTGGTCAAGGTGATACGTGAGCGCTACCTGTCGGGGCCCGAGAGGGCCAAGAGACACAGCGCCCTGGCCGACTTCTTCTCAGGAGCCTGGAGCCAGGGCACCAAGAAACTCATTACCCTGCCACTTGTGGGGAAGCCCCTGAACTTGGACCGCAAGGTGAGGTGCCAGAAACCTGGTTCCCCCCACAGCCTCCACCCGCCTGTTGTGGCTCCCCCCTTCCTTCCTTCCCTCTTTTCCACTCCTGATCTCTTCTCTTCTTTTCCCGCTGAGGGCAAGTTGTCTCCTTGCTCCTAGCATGTTGAGATGGATATGACACCCCCAGCCCAACTTTTCAGAGGGGGAAAAAAATGACCTCAATATTTGGAAACATATAGAACTGCTGCAAATTCCTGGCATCTGGAGCTTAAGCTCGCTACCCTCTGACTCTGTGTGAGGTGTACGTTTCCCAAACCCACCCCCCTATCTGTTTTAGTCCCTCTGATACCTTCCTCTGAATTCTGTGGTACAATCCAGTTTCCAGCCACAAGGTCCCCAAGTGCATTGAGCACCTTATAAACAGCACTTAGTGGCCAAGTGCAGTGGCTCACGCCTGCAATCCCAACATCATGGAAGGCCAAGGCGGGGGAGGATCACTTGAGCCCAAGAGTTTGAGTCTAGCCTGGGCAACCAACAGAGACCCTCTCTCTACAAAAAACAGGAAAAAATTATGGCCCTTGCCTGTGTAGTCCTAGACACTTGGGAGGCCAGGAGTTTGAGGCTGCAGTGAGCTACAATTCTGGCCTTGGAACTCCAGTCTGAGCAACAGAGCAAGACCCTGTCTCTTAAATAAATAAATTAAAATTAAAATAGCACTTATTTCATCTTCTAGTCATGAAAGCAGCATGCAATTATGGTGAGATACACAGAAATAAAAGATTAAAATAAGCCACTCCCTGCAATTCTGTCATTCTGGAGCCCCTTGGGTGCAGCCTCTTCCTAGTCTTTTTTCTCATGTGCCTGAGAGCGCTCAGGTTTGGCATCCTTAGCTTGGATGCCACACCTTCATTTTTGCCTCTCAAATACCTCAAGGCTCAACTCAAATGCCTCTTCCTTCAGGAAGACTTCCAGTATTTCCTACCTTCTCAATTACTTGTTCTTTTCTCTGTGGTCCCTTCAATCTGAGCTAAGCAATGTAACTTATCCTTTTAAACATTTGGAAATAATTTTTAATTTACAGAAGAGTTGCACCAAGAGTACAGAGAGCTCCTATGGACCCTTCCCCCAGATGATAAAATCGTGTATAACCATAGCACAAGTGACCACAACTAGGAAATTATACTTTTAATCCATTGATCATGGCTCCATTTTTCTTTCTTTCCTTTTTCTTTTTGTCCCCCTTGCTGGACTGGGGAGGCCAGAGGCAGAACCAGGCAGGCCTGTATCTTTTTTTTTCTTTTTTCTTTTGCTTGAGTTGGTGTCTCACTCCGTCGCTCAGGCTAGAGTGCAGTGGCACGCTCACAGTCACCCCAGTGTCGACCTGCTGGGCTCCGACGATCCTTCCGCCTCAGCCTTCCAAGTAGCCAGAACTACAGGCATGCACTATCATGCCTGGCTAATTTTTGATTTATTGTGGAGACGAGGTTTCACCAAGTTGCCTGGGCCGGTCTCGAGCCCTCAGACTCAGGCAATCTACTCACCTCTGCTTCCCAAAGTGCTGAGATTACAGGCTGAGCCACAGAGCCTGGCCAGGCCTGGTTCTTTCTTGGTGCTGAGCTTTCTCCTGTCCAGTGACCCACAGACCCACCCACAGACCCTCTCCTGTGTACCCAGAGACCCTGTAGGCTCAGCCTCATCCCGTCCCTCTAGGACATGGTCCAACCTCCTTTCTGGTCTCCCAGCCTCAAGACTTCTTGCCCAGTCCAACCTCCCAAGAAATGCTCTGACAATCGAATCTGATCATGCCTCTCCTCTAATACTGCCCATAGTTCCCCAGTGCCCTCTGTCTGGAGCCCAACCTCCCACCCTGATATCCAGTGCCTTCATGTCTGCTGCCTTCCTACTCTCATTCCCGCCATGCTCCCTGCCTCCCTGCCTCTCCAAGCCCTCAGCCCACTCCCTCACACCTCCAGACCCTTGTCCTTGCTGTCCCCTTGCCCTGGAATGCCACTGTTTCCTGACACCTTTTGCCAGACAAACTCCTACTTATCCTCTGAGGCCCAGCTCCATTCCCCCAGCTCCAGGAAGCCTTCCCCACGTCCCCTGGCTTGGATTCCCTGAGCTCACGTATCCCCTTCTGCCCCATCCCTGGCCGTGGGGGCCGTGGGCTGTGCCCATCTGCCCTCAGGTCCCCATCCCTTCCAGCATTGTCTGGGCCCTACCTGGTCCTGCCACAGAGTGAACAACTGTACCGTGTCCAAGTCCCAGCCTCCCTTGTCTCCTGCCAGGTGGCCCCCCAGCCCCTGTGGTTCTCGGACACGGTTGCAAACCTGCGGAAGCTACAGGAGCTGCCCTATCACCTGCTCCATGCGGGCCGCTGGGAGGAGCTGAAACGGGAGGTACTGGGTAAGGGTTGCCCCACGGAGGGCACTGGGCACCGCTCCCGCCTAGTAGAGCTATGGAGGGCGGAGGTCCTCATGGCATCTTGGCTTCTCCTGAGGCGGAGGTTCCCACAAGGGCGACTCCACACCCAGGAAACACTGGGTGTCTGCAGACACTTGTGGTTGCCACCACTTGGGAGGTGCTGCATGCATCTCATGGGGGGAGGCAGGGATGCTTCTCAACACCCCGCAGTGCATAGGATGCCCGCAGAGAATGGTCCAACCCCAAACTTTGGTAGTGCAGAGGGTAAGATGCCCTGCCTTGGCAGGAAAGTCCATGTCTGTCTGTCTCCATCTATCCATCTCTCATCCATCCATCCATCCATCCATCTATCCAGTCAACCATCAGTCTACCTATCTGCCCATCCATCCATTAATCTACCCATCCGTCCATCAATCCATCCATCCATCTCTGTGATTCTGAGCCAGGAGAGTTTCTGCTCCCCTGGGGGACCCTTGGCAATATCTGCAGACATGTCTGATCATCACACTTGGGGCTGGGGGCGCTCCTGGCATCTGGGGTGGAAGCCAGGGTTGCCTCTCTACGTCCTGCAGTGCACAGAGCAGCTCCACGACAGGGAGTGCTCCAGCCCCAGATATTCATGCTGCTGAACTTGGGAAGCCCTGGATGAAGAGAGGTGACTGTCCACCTTCCAGGGTGGACTGGAGGAAAGTGGGTACTTCCTTCACCCCAGCTTCTTCCTGCAGGGAACATGAGCTGGATTTGTTGCCGGGGCCTCTCTGGGAGCATTGAGGACCTACTGGCTGACTTTGACCTGTGTGCCCCTCACCTGGACTGCCCCGAGGTTGCCCTGGTCCGTGAAGCCCTACAGCTCTGCCGTCCTGCTGTGGAGTTCCGAGGCATGGGTGAGTCTGACAGTTGGGCTGGGTTGGGCCACTCTGCACTGACTAGAAACCAGCCCTCTTCCCTGAGTCGTGAGCCAGGCTTTCACTATCCCTCACTCTTTTCCTGTCTAAACCCGTAGGCTTTTCCCCAGTGCGACTTCTAGAATTAAAAAACAATTTTTTTTAGAGACAAGGTCTTTCTCTGTCACCTGGGCTAGAGTGCAGTGGCGCGATCACAGTTCACAGCATCCTCGACCTCCTGGATTCAAGCAATCCTCTCGCCTCAGCCTCCCAAAGTGCTGGGATTATAAGAGTGAGCCATCCTGCCTGGCCCACCTTTCTTTTTAAGGCTGAATAATACTCCATTGTATGGCTGGACCATTCATTCATTCATTCATGTGTCGATAGACACTTGGGTTGTTTTGACCATTTAACTGTGGTGAATATTGCTGCTGTGAACATGAGTTTACATGTCTCTTAGAGGCTCCTCTCTAGGCTCTTGTCGGCGAATGTCTAGGAGTGGAGTCGCGGCATTGTACAGCAATGCTGTTTAGCTTTTTGAGAAGTCACCATATCATTTTCTACCGCAGCTGCACCATTTAACAGTTAAACTATGGGAGGGGATAAAAACTTTCCTTTACCCTTCTAAGTTCAGTGACAGGGGCCTGCAAATTAAACTAACAAAATACAGATTAACGGGAGGAAAGGCACACAAATTTTAATTTTATGTGTGCAAAATCTTCACAGAATAAAAGTGAAAACCCAAAGAGGTAGATAGACCCAGGGGCTTATATGCCATTTTAATAAAGGGCAATACATTGTGAAGTGTGTTCACAAATGAAGAGGAAGGTATTCAGGGTGCCCAAGTCCCTGCATCCCATGCACCTTCCCATGGATGTGAACAGCATGCCACATAGGATGTGCAGAGGTCTGTGGTTCCTGTACAGAGCATCAAATCCTGGCTCTGCAAAGCATCCTCGGACCACCAGCTTCTCATCCCCACGGCCACCAGCCCAGGCCAGCGCTGCCATCTCTCCCCCCAGCCCCTGCAAAGCCTCTTCCCACGGCTGCTGGCTTCCATCCTCAGCTCTCAGAGCATTTCCACCCAGTAACCAGAAGAACCTCAGGAGAGTCTCACTAAGTGGTTTGGGGTAAATACCCTTCTGGGGTTGGGTTCGGTGGCTCAGCTTTTAATCCCAGCCCTTTGGGAGGCCGAGGTGAGTGGATTGCCTGAGCCCGCGGGTTCGAGACCCGCCTGGGCAACTTGGCGAGACCTCATCTCTACAATAAATCAAAAAATTAGCTGGGCGTGGTAGCGCGCGCCTGTAGTTCCAGTTATTTGGAAGGCTGAGGCGGAAGGATCGCCGGAGCCCAGCAGGTTGAGGCTGCGGTGGCCAGGAGCGGCCACTGTACTCCAGTCTGGGTGGCAGAATGAGATTCCAACTCAAAAATAAATAAATAAATCCCGCGCCTTTGGGAGGCTGAGGTGAGTGGATTGCCTGAGCCCGCGGGTTCGAGACCCGCCTGGGCAGCGAGACCTCATCTCTACAGTAAAATCAAAAAATCAGCTGGGTGTGGTAGCGCATGCCTATAATTCTGGCTACTCGGAAGGCTGAGGCAGAAGGATCGCCGGAGCCCAGCAGGCGAGGCTGCGGTGGCCGGGAGCGGCCACTGCACTCCAGTCTGGGCGACAGAGTGAGACTCCAACTCAAAAAAAAAAAAAATACCCTTCTGGCACCACAGCCTAAACGGCGTGTATGACTTACCCTCCTGGGACACGCTTGGCCGGGTCCTCGGCATCCCAGACAGGATGGAAATGCCCAAATGTGTGTGCCCACTCCCAGCCACAACTTGGCGTCCCCAGAGCCCCGGTGGGACCCCCCTTCCAGCCCCTCTGTGGCCCCTTTGGAGCTCAGCCAAGAGCTGTTTCTCCAGCCTGGGTGGCAGAAACAGCCTTGTCTGGCCACCCCGAGGCTTGCCATCCCCATCTTCCCCAGCCCTTGCGTTTCCATCACTGCACCGTGTTTCCATCTGTCTTCACTCTTAATTTGTATTATTACTGTCTTGAGACAGAATCTCACTCTGCCGCCCAGGCTGGACCAGTGCCCAGTGGTGTGACCATAGCTCACTGCAGCTCTGACCTCTTGGGCTCAGGCGGTCCTCCCATCTCAGCCTCCGGAGTAGCTGGGACGACAGGCACCACCACGCCCAGATAATTTTCTAATTTATTGTAGAGATGAGATATTGCTATGTGTCCCAGACTGGTCTCCAATTCCTGGCCTCAAGCAATTCTCCCACCTCTGGCTCCCAAAGTGCTGGGATTCAGGTGTGAGCCATGGCGCCTGGCCACGCCCTCCGTGATCATTTCTGCCATTTTTCTCTCCCACCGCCTGCTGCTCCAGACTCTGAACTCCCCGAGGGCCGGAATGTCTACTCCCCCGCCACCACCACATTTCTGCCTGACCATATAGAGCAGACCCGGCCAAAAGTGTGGGTTTGTGCCTCACTGTGTCAAGTCACACCTTGGCCACTTACGGGCAGTGTGGCCTTAGGAGCTGCCTGCCACCCCTCCCCCACTGCACAGCCTTCGGTTTTCTCACCTGCAAAGTGGGGGTGCAGACCCGCTATCCCACCTTTGGCTATGCAGGCCAGCTCCTGTGGGGCCATTGAGGGCCCTGCCACCGTCACGGGCGCTGTTGACGTGGATGACTTTGGACAGGCCATTTCCGCGCGGAGCCACAGTTTCTGTCATCTGCAAAATATGGGACGGAACTCACGCGTGTCTGGGTCCCCCCACAGGAAGGCACTGATGTCTGCAAGCACGTGCACCTTTCTCATGCATTCACCCAACTCCCACGGGCCACCTGCTGGCACCGCAGCCATGGTGTCGGCTTCTACGGAGACCCAAGGGAGATGGAGCAGTGGAGGGAGACAGCATAACACACTGAGCAACTGCATGAGACAGAGCAGTGTGTGAGAGGTGCTCCCCGGAGCCGTAAACCTCGCCAGGAAGATGCCTTGGACACTGCCTGGTTTAAGGGAAGATTCAAAAGCCCAAATCTGGCTGGGCACAGCAACTCACGCCTGTAATCCCTGTACTCCAGGAGGCTGAGGCAGGAGGGTCGGATCACTTGAGCCCAGGAGTTCGAAACCAGCCTGGGCAACATAGGGAGCCCTCATCTCTACCAAAACAATTTTTTTTTTTAATTATCCAGACTAAGCCGGGCTCGGTGGCTCAGCCTGTAATCCCGCGCCTTTGGGAGGCTGAGGTGAGTGGATCGCCTGAGCCCGCAGGTTCGAGACCCGCCCAGGCAGCAAGACCTCATCTCTACAATAAATCAAAATATCAGCCGGGCATGGTAGCGCGCGCCTGTAATTCTGGCTACTCGGAAGGCTGAGGCGGAGGGATCGCCGGAGCCCAGCAGGTCGAGGCTGCGGGGGCCGGGAGCGGCCACTGAACTCCAGTCTGGGTGACAGAGTGAGACTCCAACTCAAAAAAAAAAAAAAAAAAAAAAATTAGCCAGACAGGTGGCATGTGTCTGTGGTCCCAGCTACTCGGGAGGCTGAGGTGGGAGGATGGCTTGAGTCCAGGAGGTCAAAGTTGGGTGAGCCATGATCGTGTCGCTGTACTCCAGCGTGGGCGACCGAGGGAGTCCCTGGCTCAGAAAAATTAATGAACTAAAACCCCCGTCTCAGCCCATTCTCTTCACGTATCTTACAGGAGGGCCTGTGGCTCCCCGCCCCAGCGCAGGGTGGGGCCTAGAAGCAAATATCACCACCAGAGGGCGCTGCCTGTCGGCCAAGTGCTCTCAATATGTCCAGCATTTCTTGCAAGCTCAGAGAGGCCACCCGACATCCTAAACGCTCCAGCGCCATGGGCATTCCCGATTGCCCGTTGGCCTTGTAACATGGCACCGTGCCGCTTCTAATTCTGTGGGTGTGTTTAATTTTTATTTTAAAGATATGAGGTACAATTTAGGGTTAGGTATACAAGTGGCCATCGTACAGGTAAAGTTTGGGCCTCTCTTTGGTCCCCACTTCACCTGGTTTGAGATCAGGTCCCCTTATTGATGAACAGTGCCCTCCCCCCCTTGTGTGTTTTTTTTAAATAAATGTCTTTTGAAGAGCAGTTTTAGGTGCACAATTGAGTAGAAGACCCAGAGATTTCCCATATACCCTTTCTCTGATTCTGTCTTTATTGAAAAGGTTGCTATTTGGTTCATCATGGATTGAGGGGTTATTAATTTTGATGTTTAAAAAATATTGCATTAAGGCCGGACGTAGTGACTCATGTTTGTAGTCCCAGCACTTTGGGAGACCAAGGTGGGAGTATCGTTTGAGACCAGGAGTTCAAGACCAGCCTGGGCCACACAGTAAGACTCCCATCTTAACAAAAAAATTTAAAAATTACCCGGGCATGGTGGTGCCTGTTGTTCCAGCTACTTGGGAGGCTGAGACAAGAGGATCACCTGAGCCCAGGATGCTGAGGCTGCAGTGAGCCGTGAGTGTGCCACTGTACTCTAGCCTGGGTGACAGAGTAAGACACCGAATCAAAAAAAAAAAAAAAAAGATAAAGAAAGAAAGAAAGAAAGAGCATGGAAACTGTCTGTGTCCAGTAGAAACAGTGCTTCATATACCCACACAACCATTCTATTTTTCACTTTCAGTACAATATTTTATAATTACATGAGCAATTCAGCACTTTCTTTTTTTTTTTTGAGTTGGAGTCTCACTCTGTCGCCCACACTGGAGTTCAGTGCAGCCTCGACCTGCTGGGCTCCAGCGATCCTTCCGCCTCAGCCTTCCGAGTAGCCGGAACTACAGGCATGCGCTACCACGCCTGCCTAATTTTGATTTATTGTAGAGATGAGGTCTCACCAAGTTGCCCGAACGGGTGTCGAACCCGTGGGCTCAGGCAATCCACTCACCTCTGTCTCCCAAGGCGCGGGATGACAGGCTGAGCCACCCTGCCTGGCTTCAGCACTTTCTTAACACAGGCCTTGTGTTTGATGATTTTTGCCACCTGTGGGCTGGTAAGTGTCCTGAGCATGGTGAAGGTGGGCCAAGATATAACATGTGGTAGGGGAGGTATGTTCAGTGCATTTCTGACTCACGATATTTTCAGCTTATGATGGGTTTACTGGACAAACCCCCTTGGTTAAATCAAGGTGCATCTGTGTACTCCGCGACTGAATTGCTGGGGAAATGGTCTTTACTTATCCAACACTCATTCACTGGGCGTCTACAATGTTCTAGGCACCAGGAACTCGGTCATGAGTAAGGCAGATGTCACTCCTGTTCCCGGGAGGCTAGAGGCCTGGGACAGTGGAGGAGGCTAATGGTCGTCCGGTAAACACATACACAAAGTCAACTCGCAGCTGGGTGTGATAGGTCACGCCTATTATCCCAGCATGTTGGGAGGCCAAGGATGGAGGACAGCTCTAGGCTGGAGGATCAAGAACAGCCTGGGCAACATAGTGAGACCCCGTTTCTACAAAAAAGACAAAACTTTGCCAGGCGTGGCGGAATGTGCCTGTAGTCCCAGCTACTCAGGAGGCTGAGGGGGAAGGATCGCCCAAGCCCAGGAGATTAAGCCAGCATTGGGCCACTGCACTCCAGCCTGGGTGACCATCTCAAAAACAATAATAATAGTAATAGTCATCATCATCATCAAATTGCAAGTGTGATCCGACCAGAGCTAGGGGGCATGGAGGGTGGACTGAACCACTCTGTGCAGAAGTGATCTTGGGGCTGAGATGAGGGTGAGGAGAGCGTCAGCTGGAATGCAGCGGCAAGCATGAAAAGCTGTGTCTGCTCACTCTTGAAGGCCCTGACTCCGTGACAGCTTTGAAGGTGCTTTGAAGACAAAGCGGGACAGAGCACATGGCCCCGTATCTCTCTCTGAGTTGCTCTGTTCCTGCAAAGATAAATCACCCCAGTCCCTGTCTTTTTCCACACACGAGATAATGTCTGACAGGTTGATGGTTATGCCTCTGTAATCTATAGCCGGATGGACTCTTTCATTTTTGTATTTACTTTGTCTTGCCCAGAGCAGACAGATTAATTTTTTCTTTGAGTGACACACCTTGTTGCGATTTTGCTTTAATGCAGCTTCTGACAAGCTTGATGTGATTTTGCATACACTGGATCTCCACTCCCTGTGTGTGAACCGCAGGCTGGACACTGTGCAGAGCTGGCTGATACAACCTCCCGAAAGGGCCACACTCCTCAGGAAGACCCCTTTCTAAAAAAACTAGACTCAAGGTCTCACTCTGTCACCCAAACTGGAGTGCAGTGGTGTGCTTATAGCTCACTGCAGCTTTGACCTCCTTGGCTCAAGCGATCCTCCTGCCTCAGCCTCCTGAGTAGCTGGGCCTATAGACATGTGCTACCACACCCAGCTAATTTTTAAAATATATATAATTGAGATCTTGCTCTGTTGCCCAGGCTGGTCTCAAACTCCTGGCCTCAAGCAATTCTCCTCCTCAGCCTCCAAAAGTGCGGGAATTATAGGCATGAGCCACCATATCCGGCTAGGACTTCTGCATAAAACTGACATTAACTCTAAAAGCTTGTGTGTTTTTCCCCCCTGTTGGCCAACAGTTGGTATGAGAAACGTAGGGTGGGGAAGTGTTCCAGGCAGAGGGAACAGCATAGGTGAAGGCTCAGAGGCTGAAAAATCACCGGATACACTTAAATTAGGGGTAAATGTGTCTGGCTAGCAGGCAACGAGGCAGAAGAGGAAGGCAGGGGCCAGGATCTGAGATGTCCAGGCTTCTCTCCCACCCTGCAGTCCCTGCAGGGAATGAGGACTCGACAGGTTGGGCTCCACCGGGAACTCAACCGCATCCCTTGTTGCAGAGTGGAGTCTCCTCTACACAGAACTCCTGGCCAGACTTCATTTCTTTGCCACCTCCCACCCAGCACTGGTGGGACCGCTGTGCCAGCAGGCCCAGAGCTGGTTCCGAGTGTGCCCACACCCTGTGCTGGTGCCCCTTGGAGGATTCCTCCAGCCTCCCGGAGGGCCCCTCCAGGCAACCCTCACCGGCTGCCACAAAGGTGAGTCTCTCCCAGCATGGAAAATCCCACCAGGCCCCAGCTTGCCCGGGGGCAGCGGACGGCAAGTGTTTGGGGCTGCTTTCTGGGGTCCCCTCCACCAGGCTGGGGCCCCCAAGAGTGCCGTCGGGGTCTACGCCTGCTGTCTCGTGCTGAATCAACCCTCTCTGCCCCCGGGAGCTGAGGATTACTGGTGTGAATACTGCCGATGCACCCGGAGCTAGAGGGGGCGAGGGGCTGAGTGGCTGAGTATGTGGGTGGGCAGGGGGGCCCCTGAGGGGATGGCAATGTCCGGTGAGGAGGGAGGAGGGCTGAGGGGCTGAGGGTGGAAGGACGTGTGGCTAGGAGCATGGACAACTGATGGAAGCACGGAAGAGGATGGCTGGATGCGGGGAGGAAGGAGGAAGGGTTGGCAGGTGGGCTCCTCCCACTGGGGGGGATGCTTCCAAGCTTCTCATCTCCAAGAGCTTTGGACCCATCTGACAGGCAGTTTCCGCCGTTTTCTGGCTCTTGAGAGGCCTGGAAGCTGGGAGGTGATGCTTGACTGGCCCTGAGAGGCTGATGAAGCTGAAGGCCGTCTTGAAGCCCAGAATGTCAGGGAGAGAAGAGGGTTTCGTCTTGGGGTTTTTTTGAGTGGGAGTCTCACTCTGTCGCCCAGACTGGAGCGCAGCGGCCGCTCCGGCCCCCGCAGCCTCGACCTTCCGCCTCAGCCTTCCCGGTAGCCGGAATCACAGGCACGCGCGGCCGCCCGGCTGATCTTTTGACGGGTCGTAGAGACGAGGTCTCGCCGCCCAGGCGGGTCGGAACCCCGCGGGCTCGGACCATCCGCTCCCCTCAGCCTCCCAAAGGTGCGGGATGACGGGCGGAGCCGCCGAGCCCGGCTAGGATTTCGTTTTTGTCACTAACTTGTCATCTGCTGCTTCTTCCATCCGTCCCACCCACCCATCCATCCGTCCTCGCGCCCCCCATCCACGCTTCCGTTCATCTCGCTGCCCGTCTGCCCAGCCAGCCACCCAGCCATTCGCCCGGCCCGGTCCTCCAGCTGCCCCCCTCACAACCCCCATCCACCCAGTCAGCCGGGCAGCCATCCATCCACACGGCCCTCTCACCCTTGCACCCGCTCACCTGTCCCTCCCTCCGTCTGCTCATCCCTGCATTCTGCCATCCTTCCTTCCATCCGCCCATCCATCCTTGCGCTCGTCTTTCCGCCCCTTCCCTGCCGGCGCATCCATCCGTCCCACCGCTCGCCCACCCAGTGACTGCCCTCCCACACGTCCACCCCTCAGCCAGCCAGTCATCCAGTCGGTCGTCCAAAC